CCTGCTGGTGCAGGACCTGTGGCGCGCGCGGCCGGGCTGGGCGCGGCGCTTCGAGTTGCGCGGCCGCGAGGAGGCACGCCGGCTGGAGCAAGAGGCCTTCGGGGCTGCGGACCCGGACGGTAAGCGGGGGAGGGCACAGAGGTGGGGCGGGGCCTATACGGGGGAGGCGTGGCCCTGGAGGTGTTGGGGCGGGGCAATCAAGAGGGGCGGGGCACGAGCTAGAGGCGGGGCTAGTAGAATGACGGGCTTGACCAGGGGCAGGGGCTGCGGGGGCGTGGCTTACAGGGAAAGGAGGCGGGGTCTGTGGGATAAAAGTGCTGGGGGGCGTCCTCTGGGAGGTGCTTGAGGCGGGGCCCAAAGAGAGGCAAACTCTGGACTAGACGTGCTGGATGGAATGGGGTGTACTGGGAGGGAGGCAGGGCCCGTTGAACAACTCCTGGTGCTATTCTGGGGCGGGACTTAGAGGCAGGGTCTGTAAGGGCAGTAATGTGGTCAAGGGGCGTTCCCTATATAAGATATCTTTTCTCCTTCTCCCTTTGGGAAATACAGAGGTATAGCTTATTTTATTTTAACCAAACTAGGATTCTGCCGTGGAGCCCAGGATGCCCTTGAACGCTTGCTCCCCCAGCCCCAAGTGCTGTAATTACAGTACACCACCACGCCTAGCCCGGCCATTCTTTAATTTTTGATCTCAACAAAATTCTAGGTGAAGATTCTATGTAATAACGTATATAAAGGGCTTGGCATATGCTTAATAAAGATTAGGGAAATAGAAGTAACCGCTCAGAAGAATGGAAATAATGCCATCTCTTCTCTGACAACTGACCAAAACAAAAAAAACCTTTACTGAGCACACAGAGTGAGCCACACATGTTTTGGGTCACTGGTGTCCAGGGACAAGCAAAGTTTCCAGTTTTTCAGATCTTACAAGCTTAGTGGGAAATGTTTATTCATTCAGCCCCTTCCATGGGGAGCCTACTGTGTGCTGGGGCCTAAGAACTGTTAGGAAGGTGGGTGTTTCCAGCTTCCCGAGGACAGTTCTCATTGTTGATGCCTAGACCGGTCCCCGACACACAGGAGCTGCTCCTTGAATGCTTGTTAAAAGAATGAATTTCTAAGCTGACAACTCCAAGTTGGAGTCAGGCGAAACTGAGTTCCAGAGCCAGGGAATAGCCTCTGTGTTTTTCAATTTCCCATAGGCACCAACGCCCCATCTTGGCGGACACAGAAGAATCGGTCTCGGGCAGCATCTGGTGGGGCGGCTCTGGCCAGTCCAGGTCCAGCGTCAGGATCGGGGACCCCCACTGGGTCTGGGGGCAAGGAGCGGTCTGAAAATCTGTCCCTGCGTCGCAGTGTGTCTGAGCTGAGTCTGCAGGGGCGGAGGCGACGTCAGCAGGAACGTAGACAGCAGGCACTTAGCATGGCCCCAGGGGCAGCTGACACCCAGATGGTACCAACAGACCCCGGAGACTTCGATCAGCTGACTCAGTGCCTCATTCAGGCACCCAGCAACCGTCCCTACTTCCTTCTGCTCCAGGGCTACCAGGATGCTCAGGTTAGCACCATCTCCCTGCTCACAGAGCCACACCAGACATAGTGGCCGACAAAACCACACACCAAGAATGCCCTGGGTTGAGCCCTCTCCAGAATAATGACAGTTCCCACAAAGTTCCCAAATAGGAAAAACATGGTAGGAGCTGAGGGTAGGTCAGATACAAAGATTTCATTTGAGAGGTATAGTGAATGTTTCCTTTCATTCAGAGGTGAAAGAAAATATAGTCTTGGTCAGAGGCCAGTCTGTGGTCAAAAAGACACCTCTCACAAACATCCGTTCCTTGAAGGAAAATCTGTGTCCTAGGTCAGGGAAATCTTTGGTATCTAGACCCTTGTTCTGGAAAAGGCAGCTTTCTTGTTAGGAGAAATAGACTAATACATTTATAAAGGTTCACATGGGAACCATCTGACCCCTTGTTGATGGAGGCAGGAGGCACTGAAACCTGTTTGCATTTTTATTTTTGCAGTATTGAGGGTTGTACCCAGGCCCTGCACCTGCTAGCAAGGTGCTCTATCTCTGAGCAAGGCCCCCAAGCCTTCCCTGGTGGGTTCCAGGCAGGCGGTGTACTGCTGAACTATTCTTACAGCCTTTTAACTTAAGAGATAGGAGCTCCATCGGTTGCCCAGGCTGGTCTTGAATTTATGATCCTCCTGCTTCAGCCTCCTGAGTAGTTGGCATGACATACTGCGCCATCCAGGCCATGTTTCTATGTATTACATATTTGAGGGCCATAGATCATGAGCAGTAGGGTTTGTTTTAGGAAGGGGGTCAAATGGTGCATCCAGTTTTAAAGATGGAGGTGAGAGTCCACTTTTAAACCAGGGTCTTGTGCAGTTTATCTCTCGGTTCAGTGGATGAAATAGGGCATGCTGTAAGAAGGGGACTCTTTGAAGCATCTATAAGCATTTCTAAAAAGGGCCACTATCTCTGTGGAAGTCTTTGGAGATGCCTACTTTGGGAGGGGAATATCAAGAGCTTCCATTAACGGACAGGGAGAATCTTTGAACTCCAACCTGAGAAAAGAGTCATGGATGAGTCCATTGTAGACATATGTTTCCTTGGGGTGAGTCCCATCACTGGATGGAAGTAAACGAAAGCCCTTTGTAGAGAGGGGTCTTTTTGAAAGTGTGCCTTCATTGGATGGAGGTAATGGAATCCTCTTGCTTGGTTCATGGGATGTTTCTATGAAGACATCCTTTGCTTGCCTGGGACGATTTTGATAGAAACTGTTATCAGAAAGGAAAATACACTGGAGAATTGACAAGTAGGGCTATGGATGGGAGTTGCCAAGTTCCTTGGAAAGGTCTCTCAGGATGGCTATGGAAGCCCTGTCCGTGGGGGCCGTATGGCACGCAGGTACTGTAAGAGTACGGCACAGTTCGTTCAGGAGAGTTGAGAAGACAATTTATTGGAGACCGATCTGTTTGGAAACCTCTTCCAGCCAGTAGAGTTATTTCATTTGGTGTGAGGGTATCAGATCCCCTGGAACTGGGATTATAGACAGTTGTGAGCTGCCATGTGGGTGCTGGGAGTTGAACCTGGGTCCTCTGGAAGAGTAGCCAGTGCTCTTAATGTCTGAGCCACTTCTTCAGCCCGTGAGGGTCATTTTTAAAGGGTAGAGCCAGAGCTAGAGATAGCTCTTCCGGTAAAAGCACCCACTCCCGTGACCAAAGATCCGAGTTTTATCTCCAGAACCACACAGTGGAGGAAGAACACCGATTCCCAAGTTATCTTTGACCGCTACAGGAACACTGTGGCGCTGCCGCCCACCCCAACTTTTTTTTCCCAAAAAAGGATGAAACCACAAAATGTCTTGGAAGAGGTTATTCATGGGCGAGGGATGCTCAGAAGAGCCCTTTGAGAACCCAGGAAACCTCCCTTGAGGTTTTCATCGCTTAGAGGAGGTGTGGTGGAGTGAGGGAGTCTAGTGTGGGTAAGGATGCTGTTTGGACATACCCATCGCCGCCTCCTGCTTTCCTCTAGGACTTCGTGGTGTATGTGATGACCCGAGAGCAGCACGTGTTCGGCCGAGGTGGGCCCTCATCGTCCCGCGGCGGGTCCCCAGCCCCATATGTGGACACCTTCCTCAACGCTCCAGACATCCTGCCGCGACACTGCACGGTGCGTGCCGGCCCCGAACCCCCGGCCATGGTGCGCCCATCCCGGGGCGCCCCGGTGACGCACAATGGTTGTCTTCTGCTACGGGAGGCGGAGCTGCACCCCGGAGACCTGCTGGGCCTGGGAGAGCATTTCCTGTTTATGTACAAGGACCCCCGCGCCGGGGGCTCTGGGCCCGCTCGGCCACCTTGGCTGCCCGCGCGCCCCGGGGCCGCGCCACCCGGCCCGGGCTGGGCCTTTTCCTGTCGCCTGTGTGGCCGTGGCCTGCAGGAACGCGGAGAGGCGCTGGCCGCCTATCTGGACGGCCGCGAGCCGGTGCTACGGTTCAGACCACGGGAGGAAGAGGCGCTGCTGGGCGAGATCGTGCGCTCTGCAGCCTCCGGCGCAGGGGACCTGCCCCCGCTCGGGCCTGCCACGCTGCTGGCGCTGTGTGTGCAGCATTCGGCGAGGGAGCTGGAGCTGGGCCATCTGCCGCGCCTGCTGGGCCGCCTGGCCCGGCTCATTAAAGAGGCCGTTTGGGTGAGCGGCCCCCTGTCCCACAAGTCTTTCCGTTACCCCCACGCTTTCCCATCAACAGCCACCCACCTGCTCCACAGGTCATTTCTGCCATATTCCTGCTTTGCCCCATAAGTGTTCCATACTTCTCTCTCCTACTTCAACCAGCTAGCTCTCTGTTCAAGCCTTGAGCAAGTAAAGCTACTTTTTCCATGATGCTTTGAGATGGGCCGAGCTAATGGCACTCATAGGGTGCTGGATTCATCCACTGTGCTTACCTACCTTTGCTTTCAGAGTTGTTTAGTAGTACTGGGTTAGATCCCTGATCCTATAGCCTGCCAGGCGGGTGCTGTTCGGCTGGGACATCTGCCCAATCCCTCAGATGGATTCTGGGCAGGTGCTCGAGTGTTAGCCCCTTCCTTAACCCCTCACTGAGGGATTCCAAACAGGACTGCACTCTGGGCCACACCCCAGCCCTCCTTTTAGTTTTTATTTTGAGAAAAGGTTTCACTAAGTTGCCCAGGCTGACGAACTTAAGATCATTCTGCGTCAGTCTCCCCTTTGGAGCTGTAGAATCATGGAGGAAAGCATTCTGGGATGTGGGGGAGGTGCCATTGGATGAGAAGCATGGGAACTGCATGGGTCAGCCCTTTGGGCCTGGAACTTAGTAACAACAACAAACTAGGAAGATCCATCGGTGGGACCAACACTGTAGAAGGAATAATCCAGAATGAGGGTCTAGAGGGGTCAGAGATTTTCTTGGGGGCAAGAAGAAACTCCACGGGAAGGGAGGGAAATGAGGTAAACAGATGACTTGTGACCCTAGAGTTAGAATGGGGGAACCATGCCCGGTGACACAGACCTGCCATTCCATCTACAAAAGAGTCTGAGGCAGGAGGATTGCATGTTCAAGGCCTGCCTGAGTTACAGAGAGAGTTTAAGACCAGTGCCTGGGCAACAGTGAGACAGTATCTCGAAATAAAAAGCTAAAGGGCCTGAAGCTGGATGTGGTGGCTACCCTTGTAATTCCAGCGCTTGGGGGAGGTAAAGGCAGGAGGATTGCACTGTTGGGGGTCAGTCAGTGCTACACAGAGAGACCCTGTCTTAAAAAACAAAAAAAGGTGTGTATGTCCGTGACACTGGAAATGTCTCAGTGGATCAAGTGCTTGCCTCCTAAGGCTGAGGTCCAGAGTTCAGATCCCCAGAACCCATGTAAAGCTGGGCAGACATGGTGGCCACCTGTAATCCCACAACCAAGGCAGAGACAGCATTCCCTGGACAAGATGGCTAGCTAGACTAGCCGGAATTAGCAGGTTCCAGATTCAGGGAGAGCCCCTGCCTCAGCGCAGTGGAGAGTGAGAAAGGAAGACACCCAACATCACTTCAGACCTCTCCACATACATGTGCACCCACACATATGAAAACTGAAATAGCTATGGAGCACACAAGGAAGGTGCTTTTAGGCAAACCAAGTTACAGAGTCCTGATCCCCCAATCCAGCCTCCTTACATTGATCCTTATCTTACTGTTCTACAGGAAAAAATTAAAGAAATTGGAGACCGTCAGCCAGAGAAGTAAGAGAAAGCTGGGGCGCCCAGGTCTGGAGGCTCACGGGGTTGGGACTAGAGCTCGGCGCTCCATAGCGCCTTAGTGCAAGTTCTGTGGCATCCGCGAGTGGGGGACTCAGGCCTTGGAGTTTGGTCTTTATATTAGGAATTGAGCAAAAGTCATGGGGACCCCTCCTCTTTCCTCAGCCACCCAGAGGGAGTGCCTGAGGTGCCTCTGACTCCCGAGGCTGTGTCTGTGGAGCTGCGACCCCTCATCCTGTGGATGGCCAACACCACAGAGCTGCTGAGCTTCGTTCAGGAGAAAGTTCTAGAGATGGAGAAAGAGGCTGACCAGGAGGGTGAGCTCAGGCCCAGGACCGCTTTGCCTTCCCGTCAGACCCTGAACCTGGACACCCAGGCTCTAGCAGCCGGCCTCTGTCCCCCTCTCTCCCCCAGGCCTGTCCTCAGACCCACAGCTCTGCAATGACTTGGAATTGTGTGATGAGGCCTTGGCCCTCCTGGATGAGGTCATCATGTGTACTTTCCAGCAGTCTGTCTACTACCTCACCAAGGTGGGCCTTGCTTCCACTCCCCTTTTGAAACACTCTCACTTTCTCTTTAACTGACATTGTGTTGCTCTGATATCACTTCCTTCGGGACCCAAGAGTTCTCTGTCCTTGGAGTCACTTCCCGACTCTCCCTAGTTCTTTGCTCTTGTCACGCTACTTCCTGTGGCTGATGTCACTTCCTTTTTGGTTCATTTCCTGCCTCCGCTATCCTCAAGTCTTGTCCAGATGAGTAGTTCATTTCCTCTATCAGTCACTATTTTTTTTCAAGCTTACACTCTTGAAGTTTACTGTTAAGTTGTGTATTTATATGTATTTGCTGATATCCCTTCCTGCATCTCTGGCTTCATTCCCTTTTCTGAGCCTAGGGTTTTGGTTTTGTTTTTTTCACTGAAGGATTATGGTGGGGCTTGATTTCCCCTCTACCACCTTTGACCTTAATATTGCTGACTGGACTAAGGCAGGGCTCCGGCTGTGGTATGCCTGATTCCCTATCTGTAAAATAAGAGGGAATCTCCCAAAATACACGCTCTGTAGCCTCCTGGAGTGGCCTTGATGGCGAAGCCCTTGCCTCAGAGGTTGTACTTCCTGTATGTTTTTGGCAAGCACACTCCTATGTCTCCTTTGTCACTGACCTCATTTCCTGTGCTTGGTGTGATCACACTTTCCATTGGCTGGCTGCCACCCAGCTCCTACTTCTGGACTCTCCATTCTTTTAATCTCTTTTGGAAATTCTGGAATTTCTTTGATTAAAGAAGGCACTTTTTTGTCCAGTGTCCTGTCCTGCCTGAACTGTCTTCTCTGTGAGAACTACAAACCCCATAAGTGCATGAGAGATGCTCTTAGAATATCTAAGCTACTTCCTGAAAACATTTCTCAGGACAAGTTGTTCCAGGAGACCTTCTACCTGCTAGAAACCCATCTACAAAGTAGGGATTTGATCATGGAGCCCCATGGGAATGGTGAAGGGAGAATGGACTACAACTCCCAGAAGCCCTTTATTGAATTCCCCATTGTCTTCATTGGCTGTCACCCTGAAGTTTTTTGCCTCTGTGTCTCCCCAGACTCTTTATTCAACACTTCCAGCTCTCCTGGACAGTAACCCTTTCACCGCTGGGGCAGAGCTGCCAGGGCCTGGTGCAGAGCTGGAGGCCATGCCGCCTGGACTCAGGCCTACGCTGGGTGTGTTCCAGGCAGCTCTAGAACTGACCAGCCAGTGTGAGCTGCACCCCGACCTCGTGTCCCAGACTTTTGGCTACTTGTTCTTCTTCTCCAATGCATCCCTTCTCAACTCACTGATGGAACGAGGTGAGGGTTGGGCTGGGAGCAGCCAGGGACCACCCAGGCCCAATCCAGGCCAACATTGGATGGCTTTGGGTAGCTTCAGCTTTGGGCAGCTTGGTTTCCAGTCGGACTTTGTCTGCGAAGTAGGTCCATTCATTGCCTCTCATTCCTTCCTACACAGGTCAAGGCCGACCTTTCTATCAATGGTCTCGAGCTGTCCAAATTAGAACCAACTTGGATCTCGTTTTGGACTGGCTGCAGGGGGCGGGGCTGGGTGACATTGCCACGGAATTCTTCCGGAAACTCTCCATTGCTGTGAACCTGCTGTGTGTGCCCCGCACCTCCCTGCTCAAGGTGACTCCCGATGGCTCTCCCTAACTAACCTTCGATTCTTCAGCCTCTCTGGGACCCCAAGTCATCTCTAACCCTAGATTAGATGTCATGATGGACCACTGGCAGCTACAGAAGTCAGGATCAAGAATGACTGAACAAAAATGTCTGAATGCTGGTGGGACGTGCTAGAAATAGTTCCCCATGTCCTGTCTTAGACATGCTGAGCCAAAATCTGGTTTGAGTCTGAGGGAAATGATGGTTAAGCATTGCGTATGAGCTGCATGCTAGGAACTGTGGTTAACAGTGCCAACAGACATCCCATTCAAAGTACGAGTATCGACTGGCAGTCTTTCAGAGAAAACTGAACCAGGTAGATCACATAGGCTTAGGTTTTGTTTTTAAGATCTTATTTTTTTTTCAAAGATTTATTTACTATGTATACAGTGTTCTGCCTGTACACCTGAAGAGGGTGTCTCATTACAGATGGTTGTGAGCCACCATGTGGTTGCTGGGAATTGAACTCAGGACTTTTGGAAGAACAGCCAGTGCTCTTAACCTCTGAGCCATCGCTCCAGCCCCTAAGATCTTATTATGTAGCTCTGGTTGACCTGGAATTCACTCTGTAGACCAGGTTGGCCTTGAGCTCACAGAGATCCACCTGCCTCTGCCTCTCAAGTGCTGGGATTAAAGGCGTTCATTACAACACTGGACCTTCACTTTTTTTTTTTTTAAAGATTTATCTTTATTTGTATGAGTGTTTGCCTACATGGATATATGTGCCCATGTTCATGAATGCCAGAAGAGGGAGACAGATCCACTGGAACTGGAGTTACAGACCATGTGCGTGCTGGGCACTGAACCTGGGTCCTCTGTAAGAGCAGCAAGTGTTCTTAACTGCTGAGCCTTCATTCCAGCCCCTTAATTTCACTTATTTATGTCTTCTTACAGTACTGGGGATTGAACCCAGGGCCTTGCACATGCTAGGCAGATGCTCTACCATTGACCTACATCTCCAGGCCTCTTTTTTAAATTAGAGATAGAGTTTCACTCACTATGTTGCCCAAACTGGCCTTGGACTTTGAGTCTTCTTGCCTCAGGCTCCTAAGAAGCTGGGATATCACTGGGCAGTGGTGGTACATGCCTTTAATCTCAGCACTCAGGATGCAGAGCCAGGCAGATCTCTTGTGAGTTCGAGGCCAGCCTGGTCTACAGAGCCAGACCCAGGACAGGCACCAAAACAACACAGAGAAACCTTGTCTCTAAAAATAAAACAAAACAAAAAAAGAAGAAGAAGCTGGGATGTCAGGCCTTCTGTACCGGGCCCAGCTGTGACCATAGACTTCTAACTTGGTCTTCCCCCAGGCTTCATGGAGCAGCCTACGGACTGACTACCCCACCCTGACTCCTGCTCAGCTCCACCACCTCCTCAGCCACTACCAGCTGGGTCCTGGCCGTGGACCACCTCCATCCTGGGACCCGCCACCTGCAGAAAGAGATGCTGTGGACACAGGTATGCAAAAATAGGCTAACAAGCACTGAGGTGTCTTCTTTCCATGTCCCCAGCTTCTTTCTTACCAAGGATTCTGGATGAGAATCTGGGCCCTTTCTTTTCCCAGAACTTAAAACTGCTGGATCCAGATGCAACAAGACTTAAAGACTAGGGGCTGAGATTGTAACACAGTAGTAGGGCTTAACTTACTCTGGATCCCTTCCCAGTACGCTACGAAGAGTTCACGTGTTCAATTATTTTTTACTTAGACTTAAGCTCCTAGCCTCTTCCCTCCACAGACCTAACCCTCCAAGATTTCCCGGCCCATCCTCAAGGTTCCAGGGACCCAACTACATAGCTTTAGTAATGGTCCTTTTTTCCCTAGTCTTAACTACAACTCGCATCATGCTTTGGGACCCAGAGAACCACATTGGATGCTGGGATTTGCAGTTTTTTCTTCCTTCAGGCGCTAGGCCACCTCACACCCACGCTGAGTCTCTAATTCGGTCTTCCTCACCCTCACAGGAGATATCTTTGAAAGTTTTTCCTCGCACCCTCCTCTCATCCTGCCCCTGGGCAGCTCGCGCCTGCGCCTCACTGGCCTGGTGACAGATGACGCATTGCACCGAGAACTACGCAGGCTCCGTCGCCTCCTTTGGGATCTTGAGCAGCAGGAGCTGCCCGCCAATCACCGCCACGGACCCCCGGTGGCTGCGACGCCTTGAAAAACCAATGACAAAAGAACGCGCGAAGCTTGAAATTGCATCTGTTCTTATGCGAGCCCGCCCGGGCGCAGAGCATTCTGGGAGTTGTAGTTTTCCCGCGTAGACCGCTGGGAGGTTGAGTTGTCTGGTAGACGATGGGACTGTGGGAAGGTGGGCTTGGGATGTGAATGCCAAGAAGTAATAAAAGTATCTGTGGTGTTGACCTTGCTTGTCAAGACTTGGGAGCCTTAGAGAAGATGGTTTTTAAGGTAGCAGGGCCTATGCTTGAAACATTGGGTGTCTGCCGAGTTTGGGGAGATATTTCTAGCAATGGCCTCAGCTTGCCCTCTAGCACGAAATGTGACCCTGGAGCACTGAACTCTGGCCACACACCTCGGAACACAGCCCAGACCGTGCTCTGCTGAGTATCAGACCCTGTGTACTGCCAGCCAGAACGGGCCAGCTCCCTCCTACCCACAAAATCCAAACCAGCCTTCTCCCCCGGTTCTTCCGCTGCTGTCTACCTACTGTGACACTGCTGAATTCCCTCGTCCAGCACCTTTTACGCTCAGAGACCCTTGGGTCCTAGTCCTCTTCCATCAGATGCAAGAATGCAGACCTCAGCTCTCCTCCTTACCCAGCGGCCCAAGCCCCAGCCCTCCTCTCCCAGACCAAGAGTCCCGACTCCTGCCCCTTCCTCTCTTAGAAGCAGGGGTCTGGGCCTCCTGTTTGAACTTTCCCCTCCTCGGAATTTGACACCTTCTGCTGTGTCAGGAGAAAAGAACAGGTGGCACCTGCCGGCGGGGTCTGAACACGACCACCTGCCGCTGCTGCTCACCCTGGTCCCAGCCCCTGCACCTGCTCCCGTCTGTCGCCTGTGGCCGCCCCACCCAACCCAACAGCCCGGGACGCCAGGGCGGAGACAGTAGGGGGACCCTCGAAGTGAGCCCGCCCCGGTCCTCCCCGCGTGTCTGCCCCGCCCCTTCTCTGGGTCCCGACAGGGTTTCTGATCCATGGCCCGCTACCAGGGCTCCCGCTCGTCCCAGAAAGGGGAGTCGAGGGCGGCCCCAGGCTGGTGGGGCGGAGCCTGAGGTCTCCAGCCCGGTCCTCAAGACTCCACCCGCTTCAAGGCACAGCTGAGTAGCTGAGCGGAGCCCACCTGGTGAGAAGCCCCTGGGGTGGAGACAGGGACCCCTCCTTATTACCCTTCACTCGCCGTTTCGGGTTCCCTTCCTGGTCCAAATACCTTTCCCACAGAGCCTGGTGCATGACATTCAACCCATTCTGTTTCAGGTGTCTGTTGCAGGAACCCCTGCGTTTCCCAGACACCCGTCAGTCAGCCTCCCTGATTCCCTGCTGACCCAGAATCTTGGATTCTAGTCCCTAAGAGCATGGAGTTCTAGTCCTTAACCTCCTTTTCCTTCAGGATTCAGAGTCCAGACGACCGCTTCCTGCACTTTCAAAGACCCAGAGGTCCAGATTCCAATGCTGTCCTTAGGATGCAGGAGTCCATGACTCAGGTCCTTCCTATACCACCAAGGTCCAGGAGTTGAAACTCCAGGCCTCTTGCTTAAGACTCAGAACTCCAGGCCCCAGCCCTCCTTCAGACCTGAGCAAGAACGACTAGTCCTGAAGCCCAGAACTCAAGGCCTCAGCCCTCTACTTCAGTCCTAAGTGTCCAAGCCCTATCCCTGGTCTCTCGCACTGTGGGTCCTGGTCCCAGCCCTCCTTCCTCAGACCCAGGGGTTTAGGGCCCAGCTGCCCTCCCTTAGACCTGGATACGTAAGACCCCCCCCCCCCCAGAAGATCTGGCCCAGTACTTCTGTCTCTAATCAGTTACGGTCTCTCCCGAATTTCCCCCAAATGACAACGGCCTGTCATCCACTTTGACCCTGCTCCCCGGCGGCCCTGTCTTCCTCTCTGTCCAGGTCTCCACCCCAGCCTTGGCAATGACCCTGGCAGCCTCCTCTCAGCGCTCCCAAATCATCCGTTCCAAGTTCCGCTCTGGTGAGAGGTTGCTTGTCTAAGAGCATGTGGGGAGGGGTCCTGGATCCAGGGCCCAGGGTCCCAGTGACACTCCTCCTGGGTGGGTGGAGGGACCCCTGAAAGCTCACGCACAAGGTCATTCATGCTGTGGAGTAAAGTGGGGGATGAGTGTGCACATGGCTTGCTAAGCTGTAAGTGGGGACACCCAAGACTGCCTATGTTGCAAAGGACTTAAACTGATCTCTAGGCAAAGCAGAAGAGCAGAGTGGGACCTGAGTGGCGTGGGTACATGGCTGGGGGACCAAGAGCAATCAAGCCTTGAAAGTGTTATTAGTCGTGGTCTGTTGCCAATTCAAAGAGTTCTGAACACTCAAGAGAGCAGCAGAAATGTGCACTGGAAAATCTTTGCTCCCGAACAGAGGGTCAGGTCTTGAGTATGTGAGTAGCATTCATGTGGATGCATGCCAGGGAAGAGTAAGCCAGGGTGGAAAATCATGTAAAGGCTAGCTCTGGAAGCAAGAAAGCGACTTATGTGCAAACCAGTCCAGAGGGCTTGGAGCCTCAGGGGTAGGTTTGCAGGGTGCTGGCTGCGGGGAACGGCAGGGGTAACACAGAGGGGGGATGCAGGGGTAAAAGGAAGCGAGGTGTTGATGGCAAGATGGCGACTGTACCAGGGTGGGCACAGACTCCTGAAGTGGCAGGTGGGGCCAGGAGCATGGCTGCCTCCTGGTTGCAGGCTGGCTGGCTTTCAGCCTCAGGAGTGGCTCTGGCCCAAGATGCTTTGCTGGCAGGAGCAGGCAAGAGGCCCTGGGAAGGGAGCGGGAATAGGCCGCCCGCCCGCCCACCCGCCCCGGGTGTGTGAAGGGGCTGGGCACGTGTGTCCCGCCAACAACCTAGCTCCCACCCATCAACCAGGCTTCGGACACTCCCTCCCCCTCCCTCTTCCTTCCACACAGTCCTGCAGCTTCGGATCCACAGACGGAATCAAGACTGCAGTAAGTGTGGGCCCCCGAAGGGAAGGGATGGTGGCCTCAGTCCCCAAGGACCATGCCTGCCTCAAAACAGTGAAATCCCAGCTGTCACTTGCAGAGGACTCAGGAGTCAGTTGGGCCACCCCACCCATCGAGGTCTCCCCAGTTTTCTCACCCCAGACACCCCAATCTTTCCTTGGTGGCGTCAGGTATCACAGCCTCTCCCACACTCAGCTAACCGAATATAGTTTCTTTGGCCCGTCCATTTCCCTGGGATCAGGGGTACAGGCATCACCTGGTTCTGTCCCAGGAATACACTAGATAGCTGTGATCTGAAGCAAACAGACCCCTTGCTGACTGAGGATAAAACTCTCTTCCTTTCTCAAAAGTGTGTCCAGGAACCCAGCTGGACAACTTGGGCTATGCTCCTTGCTCCAGGCTGGCCCTCCTTTCCGGTAGTCCCGCTCCATCCTCTCCAGCCTGCTGTCTGCTGGTCTGTTCAGGGTCCTCCGCTGTCTTTTCAGCTTCAGATCCGTGGATCTCAGCCTCAGGCCCAGCTCTGGCTCCAGCTCTGCCCCCCGTTCCTGCTTCCTTCCTGGTCAGCCCTGGCATCGTGTCCCCTGAGCCAGCCTATTGTCCCTGGAGGTCTCCAAAGAAGGTGAGCTGTGACAGAGGGCAAGTGCCCAGGACAGCCAGTCGGTCTAGCCCTGGTTCTCGCCACTGCTGACACTACACCTTTCATAGGCCAGGAAGGTGGGGACCAAGCTGAAGCATCGTCCCTGTTTTTTCTCTTTGTTTTTGAGACAAGCTCACTGCATGCCTAGACTGGTCTTGAACTCTCCATCCTGCCCCGGCCTCCCTGGTGCTGGGATGGCAGTTGTGGTGGGCCACCAAATCCCCAAGCTTGGCCTCACTTGCTCTTTCAGGAATCTTCCAGGAACTCTCAACACTGGAAGGAGCCCAAGGTCAGGGGGAACTTGACATATCACCTGTACATGCCTCCGGAACGGAGCCAAGGGCCTAGGGCAGATCTCCAAGAGGAGGGGTCAACCCTGGGTCCCCCGGGGCCACCTCTGTGGGAAGAGAAAAACTCACAGAGGCCACACCCTCGGTAGGACTCTCATTTTTATTCTCCAGGGACCCAGAAACTCAGCTCCCCCCCCCCTCAAACCCAGAGTGCAAGGGAGAGGAGCCTGCCCTGGAACCCTCTCCCCCCCCCCCGAACCCTGGCTGTGCATGCTCCCAGCCCTCGGCCGGAGACACCACGGTTGCACATCTCCCACACCCACAAACCCAGTCCTGTTGGCCCACAGGAGGTCCAGAGGTCCTCATTCTCCCGCATCCTCCGAGGCTCCTGTTTTTAAGGTCCCTAACGGCCTTTCTGCCCCCGTCCTATCCTTTCCTCACCCCCTCACGCCGGCTGCTAGGATGAAGCCCTCCTCATCAGGAGACTCCAGTCCCTCACCCCCTTCACACAAGCTGGAACTCCAGACCCTTAAACTGGAAGAGCTGACGGTGAGTTTGGAGTTGCAGTGTCCCAGGGCTGGCCCCAGACCTGCAAACCCACGGCCCCTGCTCTGGGGCCATCGGTCTGGGTTCCGGCTCCTGCCTGCTGGCTCCCTAGTCCTCGCTCCCAAATGCTCGCCCAGCACCTCCTCCCCCGCCCCCGCCCCTCAGGTCTCCGAGCTCCGGCAGCAGCTGCGCCTGCGGGGACTCCCAGTCTCCGGGACCAAGGCGATGCTCCTGGAGCGCATGCGCGGTGGCGCCCCGCCCAGAGACCGGCAGAAACCCCGGCGTGAGGACAAAGAGGCCGCTGCTCCCTGGCCGCGCCTCAAGCCCAAGACGCTGGGACCAGCCCGGCGGTCGGGCACGGTGAGGGCGGGGCCGTGCACGCACGGACCAATCAAGGGAAGAGAAGGAGGAATAGGGCGAGACCTTGGGAAAGAATAGCCAATGAAATGTTGGCAAGGAGGTGCGACTTGCGGGTCTTAAGGGAGGCCGCTAAAGCCGGGGGGCGTGGCCAACCATTGATAGCCGGCTGGAGTCAGAACCGGTAGGCGTGGTTTAAGGGAGAGAGGCCAAGGAAAGGATAGGAGCGGGGCCCGTAAGCTTATTTGGGGAGAATGAGCGTTTGCTGCCAAGCTTGACTACTTGAGTTCTATCCCTGAGACCCATAAAGTGGGAGCCGTGAACTAACCCTGAAAGTTGTCCTCTGATGTACACATATATGCACACACAAAGTGAAATAAAACGTTAAAAAATAAAAAGCATTGGGGTGAAGCCAAGGAAGGGCTGTGTCAGGGCCAGGGGGCAGAGCCACGCCTGATGTGCCGGGATAATGGAACTCCCATCTTTCCTGGTTCTAGGCAAAGGCAAATGCGGCGACTCGTAGGCTGAGGTTTTCTGGAGCTGCGGATCCCCTGAGGGCAGCTCTGGCTCCAGCTCCCGCTCCGGCTTCCGCTCCAGCTCTAGCTCCGGCTCCAGTTCCAGCTTCAGCTTCAGCTTTAGCTCTCGCTCCAGCTCCGGCTCCAGCTCCCGCTCCAGCTCCGGCTCCAGTTCCAGCTTCAGCTCCAGCTTTAGCTCTGGCTCCAGCTCCAGCTCCGGCTCCGGCTCCAGCTCCGGCTCCAGTTCCAGCTTCAGCTCCAGCTTTAGCTCTCGCTCCAGCTCCAGCTCCAGCTCCAGCTCCAGCTTCAGCTCTACTTCCAGCTCCAACTCCCTTTCCAACATCTTCTCCAGCCAGCCTGACTCTGGAGGAGGAGCTGCAGGAAGCGATCCATAGGGCGCAGGTGGAAGGGGATGCGTGGCTGGGGCGTGCCCGGGGACTGGGCTCTGGACCTAAGCCGGACCCGGGGTCACATGTCGTGTGCTCATCCACAGCTGCTTCCGAACCGGGACATCGATGACATCCTTGAAGACCAAGTGGAGCCAGATGGTAGGAGCAGAGCCCCCACGTTTAGGGGAGGAGCTGGACTTGGGAACTCCTGGGTCCGAGGGAGGAATGGGCTGGGAAGAGCAGTGAGCAGGACCTGCCCCCGCTAAAGCTCACACTCCTCCTGCAGACCTGCTGCCTCCCATCCCCTTGGACTTCCCTGGCTCCTTTGACGTGCTGTCTCCCTCCCCGGACTCGGAAGGCTTCTCTTCCGTCTTCTCTTCTTCACTCCCATCCCCTTCTAGCTCCCTGTCCCCTTCTCCAAGGGCCCTCACAGATTCCTTGGACTGGCTGGAGGCCTTGAGTGGGGGTCCACCGCTGGGCTCTGGGCCTCCAGGCCCCAGCATCTTCTCAGCGGACTTATCTGACTCCAGTGGCACTCGGCTTTGGGAACTGCTGCCAGATCCATGGTGAAGGACCCTGGGGTTTCCGAGGAGCGGTCATCTGCACCCACAAACGCCCTCTAACTACAGAGGGCTCCAGATGCCCTCATCCCCTCCGGACCCACTGCTGCTGACACACAAATGCTGGACCTGCCTACTTGGCCTCTGTGTGACCCCTCCCTCCCTTCCGTGTAGTTCGGGGTGGGGGTTCATTTGCTACGGGCCAGTGCAAACAAGCTTGCTGCCTCCTTCAGAGACCTGCAGGGTGTGTGCACCACTTCCTCCAGACGCTGGATGGCTGCCTGTCATCTGGGAATCGGAAGTTTGTGCTGTTTGGGTTCAGGAAAGGACAGGGAGAGTAGAAGGAAGGTTGACCCCTGCTCTAGTTAGGGGTGAGGGGGATCAGTGAGTCACCACCACCTAGTGGGTGGTGACCCTAAACTCCCTATCACTTTGAACCTATGAGTGTTGTGATTATACCTAGCTTTCTTGCTTTTTTTTGTTTGCTTGTTTGTTTTTCGAGACAGGGTTTCTCTGTGTAGTTTTGGTGCCTGTCCTGGATCTTGCTCTGTAGCCCAGGCTGGCTTCGAACTCACAGAGATCCACCTGGCTCTGCCTCCCGAGTGCTGGGATTAAAGGCACCATCACCGCTTGGCTGCTTTCTTGTTTTGTTTTGAGAGCAAGTCTTGGTATGTAGCCGAGGCTGGCCTCTAACTTGTGACAATCCTCCTGCTTCAGCCTTCTGAGTGCTGAGCTTAGAGATGTGAGTCGCCATACCCAGCTCTCATGGTTTGTTGAAGGGGTTCCAGGAGCTAGGTGGGCAGATGATGGAGCTAGAATGTGACCTCAGGTGAGCCTCCACCCATGCTGTGAGGATGGCTGCCTGGTGAATTCAACTGTGGGTGTCCTGTACCTTTGCATCTGTGTTTGGGCTTATTAACAGACCCACAGAACAGAACTGCATTAGATACTTTTGCATAGCCGTAACCACCATACTCAGGGGAATAAGCTAAGGGAGGAGGAACTTAATTTGCCCAGGGTCTCAGAAGGCTCAGTTGCGGTTGCTCAGCCCACAACTGATGGGGAGACGGCTGGACCCAGCTGGGTCATTGGATGTCTGGACCCTTGTTCTCCAAGAAACCTCAGCTCTCTTCTCCACGTGTTCTCTCTGCTAGACCCCTGGACTTTTTATGTGGTAGCCCAGGGCTTCCAAGAATGAATGTTCAGCTTGGAGTGGTAGCACATGTCTTTAATCCTAGCACTCAGGGCAATAGACGTGAAGAGCTGAGGCAGGAGGATCAGAAGTCCAAGATCAACTTCAACTATAGAGAGTTCAAGACCAGCCTGAACTACATGAGACCCTGTGTCAGAGAGAGAGAGAGGGGGGGGGGAGCTGAACACTTGAGACCACCAGACACTAGACATGGATGATTGCCGATGTCTTTGGGCCTGGCAGTAAATTTTGTCTCCTTTTGATCAGAAGGTTATCGGGAAAGATGGAACCAGTGTTAAAGGGACTGGGGGGTAGGATGTCAATCAGATGTATCAGAGTTGAGAAAACCAAGAGCCCGAGTTTTTACTTCAGTAAAGCGCAGTAATCACACTCCCAGTGCAGACTGACATTTCGGTGGCTGTGGTATGTGGGATCATGGAGTTATAACTGATCAAGGACAGAAACCCTGGGGAGTGGAACAGGGGTCAGAAAAATAGCTGAGCTTCCAAGGGCTAGGGGGCACTGGTAGAGAACTTCCGGGAAGATGGCGTCCTGGAAGAGGGTGTGAAGAAGACATCAAGGTGTGGAGGAAGCTGGCTCCTGGGAAAGCTGGTAAGGTTGAGTGCTCTGAGTAAGACAGCAGAAAGTCTGTGGCCAGCCCAGGCTGGAGACAGACCGAGCCGGTCCTGAAGGGCCCGTGATGAGCTGACAGAGGCGTTCCCAGCCCTGGAGGGTCAAGAGGATGTGGTGGGCTTCTTCTTCAGGCTCTAGACACTTCCCTTCTTGTTTCTTGTATTTTTACATTTTTATTTGTGTGTATACGCACACCACACACATGCTCAGGTCCTCGGAAGCCTGAGGAACCCGTCCCTCCCCTGAAGCTGGAGTGGCGAGCTGCCTGACGTGGGTGCCAGGAACTGTAACAGCACCTGCAAGAGCAGCAAGCCGTCTCTCCGGAGCCCTAGGGCTCGATTTTGGAGACAGCATCTGATTGTCCTTATTCCCACGCCCTTCTCTCCCTGAGGCTACTCAGGTCCTTTCCTGGCCCATGTCCTCTGCCTCCATTTAGTCTCCTTGCCATCTCTGGTTCACCCTCTGGTGAAGGAAACATCCTTCTCCCCATCCTTGTCCAGTCACAGCTGCCGTCTCTCATCTGGATGATCCATCCCTCATCCCGGGAGCCTTGAGCTCATGGACACCAGTTTCCAACCGAGGCTCCCTCCCACCTCCTGCCCACTGTTACCATCTTCCCTCAGCCAGTCAGCCTTGGGTGGAGAGCGCTGCAGAGCCCTTCACAGCCCCAGGAGAGGTAGGGTTGGGGTGGCCATGGAATTCTCAAGAAGGTGGAGATTTGGAAGGCTAGGGCAGTTTGGTGAGGTTGCTGGCTTGAGCACAGAGCAGGCAAAGCTGAGATCAGCACTCCTCACCACTGTTACCCTAACTTCACAAACTTCAGCCCCTCCCCTGGCCTCAGTGTCCCTGGGAGCCCCAAACCTGTTCTTTCACCCACCTGCCACCCTGGTCTTCAGAGAGGGGAGGGCATCTTGTTTCCTTCCATTTCCTTCTTCCTCCTTCTCTCCCTCACCTTCCTTCCACAAGACAAGATCTCCCTATGTAGCCCAGGCTGTGCTCAAACTGGACATCATCAGGCTTCAGCTTCTAGAGTGCTCAAATTAGGTGGACTACACATAACCCTTTCTCTTAAGTGTGATTCTGGTTATACAGCTGTATGACTGTTGAAAATCAGTGGACACAGAGCTGGTCTGTCTTGACGGCATTTGGAGATAGAATTCACATTCCAAATGATCCACCCAGTGATAGGTAAAGTTTATTGCTTTTCCTATACTCAGTTCATCTCCCACTATGATCAGTTTTCATTCATTCTCTGTCCTATTGTTTTGTTTTGTCTTTTGATTTTGAGGCAGGGTCTCTACATAGCTTGGCTGGCCTGGACTCACAGAGATCCATATGCCTGCTTCTCTGCCTCCTGAGTGCTGGAATTAAAGGTGTGCACCACCCTCATCCCCCCTCTCCAGATGGAGAAATGGCTCAAACCCATTTTATCACTTTCAAGAATGTGAAATTGGGCTGAGAACGCCTTTGATCCTATCACTCTGGAGGCAGAGGCAGGCAGATCTCAAGGCTAGCCTGTTCCACATTATGAGTTCCAGGACAGCCAGAGCTATGTAGAGACCCTGTCTCAAAAGAACAAAAGAACAAAACAAAACAAAACAAAAAACCCACAACAACAACAAAAACCATGTGATTGTGGAGAGGCATACTTTCGTTTCTTTTAGATTTACAATTTTTTTTTCTTTTTTGTTTTTTTGAGACAGGGTTTCTCTATGTAGCCCACTCTGGCCTCAAACTAAGAGATCCACCTGCCTCTGCCTGCTGAGTGTTGGGATTAAAAGTATGTGCCACCCAAGACCAGCCTGGATTTTGTGATTTTCTTTGTCTCTGAGACTGGCCTGGACTCCCTGTAAGCTGATGACGTGAACTCCTGATCTTCCTCCCCTCACTCCCTTAATGCTGGGGCCACAGGTGTCCACCACCACCCCCAGTTTGAAGATCTTCTTTTTTGAGACTGGGTCTCAGAATGTAGCACAGGCTGGCCTCCAAATGCCAGGTCCTCCTGCTTTAGGCTTCCCAGTGCTAGGATGAAGGGGAGGTGCCACTGCCACCTACTCCAGGCCACCCATGCACTATGCCAGCACCAACAATGTAGCAGGGGGTCTAGAGAGACACTTTAGGGTTCATGCTGTCCCAGAACTTCTTCAAGGGTTCTTTCTCCTACATCACCCTGTTATCATAATGGCGTCTATATAGGTTGCATTCCTCAATTGTGAGAGGAGTATCATGGTATGTGCTCACACCTGAAGTGTAACAAGATGGTATCACACACTGAAATATCTGGAGGATTCCCCTGGGCCTAGGGACGCCACACTGGTCTCCAGGAAGCCAGGGCTGCAGAGGTGGATGTGTGACTGATGCATCTGCACTGAGTTCCACTCACAGAGTTCTCGGATGGACTGAGTAAGACAAAGAGAAAGCCCTTGGTGGGTGGAGTCCCGAGAACAAGCAATGTGGTGGGAACACTGTGGGCTCCGGAGAGCCTTCACCTTCTTTATGACCAGCTGACTTTGTGCAGTGAACCTGCTGCTTCGGATCTCAGGCTAAACCAATCCCACATTCTCTTTCTCCTTGACTCATAATGAGCCACGTGGGCATGTAGTGACACCGTTCTTGTCAAGGGGACCAGGAGTTAGCTGCTGGGGTGCTTACAGAGGTGTGGTTTTCATTGGACTTGACTATGGTCCTTGTGGCGATGGCCAGACCTTTGAGAGGCAGAGCCAAGGGGACTGGAGAGAGGTTCAGAGAGCAATTGCCAGCATCCAGCTGCCTATAACTTCAGCTCCAGGGGATCTGACACCCAGTTCTGGCCTCTGAAGATCCTACTGCACTCAAGTGCACACACCCACACGTATACCCGTAATTAAGATAAAAATAAAATTTTAACAGACCTCAACAAGTTCTTAGGACATTGAAGGCACCACCTTCAAAGGGGTGAACAGTCTCAGTAGTCAGTTCTTGAAAGGTGGTTGCTATAAAGTCCAGTCCCTCTCCTTGCTCATGCTTCCCATACACTGTTGACTGGCCCATCCCGGGAATGCCATCCCCATGAGGTACTCACTGCACCTTTATAATGAGCCAGCTGCAGGTATTTCAGTATAGTGACAAAAAGTGGACAGACGAGTGTTTGTCTCACCCTGCAAAGGACCCAAGTGAGGCAGTGAACCTTCTCTTGCTGCTTCCGGAAGTGGCTGTCTTCAGGTGGCAGCCTTTCCGGCACGATGAGAAAGCTGTGCTAAAACATGGTGATGGCACTGTGGTGGTTGGCGGGCACTGGGCACCGAGGATGTGTCTGAGCTAGTCAGTTAATGAATACTGGTGATGCCTAACCTGTAAACGTGTTTGCTGAACACATCAGTTGTTCTCATGTTTGCAGCCCTGGGCACACTTCTTCCAGAGAGAAGACTCTTCCTGTGAGTCTAACACACAGCTCCTCCTGCCTAGAGATGGAAGGGGGACCAAGGACTGGCTTGTGTTAGTGCTTACGGAGTGGGGACAGGTCTGCAGGGATGCCCACCCACTCGGGTAGGAAGGCTGCCTCTGGCTTAAAGATTTTGAGGAAGGGAGAATCTGGAAGGGTGTAGTTGGCTAGGTAGATGGTGTCCCCACCTGCCAGGTAGGCAGCCCAAATCCCGAAGGTTCCAATAGTCATGATGGTGTGGTTGCACTGGGTGAGCAGTGCGAAGTCCTTGGCTGGCGAACCCTCGATACCATTGCCAGCGAACACCACATCCCCTCGGGAGGCATCGATGTTCTCCCTGCACCAGGCCATGCCATTGCTTGTGACCACGAAGACTGGAGATGGATAACGGGCCCGGAACCTGTCCAGGGCCTGCTTCAAGTAACCCCGGTCAGCCACCACGCCCTTCCACACATTGGGCATGACATGCACATAGTCCCCCCGGCGCACATGGACACCCACAAACGTACTCGGCTGGCTCCCGTTCACCCGCAGGCCACGCAGGAAAGCCTGGGCCTCCTCGCGCACATGGTCGTGCAGGGTGAACTCCTGCAGGATCTCGGGGCGCAGGTGGTGGTAGAAGGTCCAGGAGCACGGGTAGCCAGTGAGGCGCACATAGCGTCCCGGGATGTGGCGGTACCGCTCCTCCATCCAGTCGTTGAGGTGGTAGTTCTGCCACGGGATCCTCCGGTCCGTGTCGCCGTGCAGCACCGGAAGGCTGATCCTGAAGATGGGCGCCAGGGCGCTGTGCATGGCCGCGGGGATGAATGCGGGCCTTCCGTTCATCCTGGCCAGGGCGAACAGCGTGGCGTACTCGCCCATCTGGTTCCCCAGGCGGCCAATGGAATTGATGGTGAACATGCCCTGCAGCTGGCTCCTCCCTGGCATCTCGCCACTCCCTGGCATCTCTGTGACTGCTGGGTCTCCTGTGGGCATCTCTGACAGAGGTGGAATCTTCACTATTCTCTGCTGGAGGTGGATGATGGTGGAAGTCACGAAGACGAAGATGAGGAAGTGGGCCAGAGGAAAGGAGAAAGGAACCTGAGCGTTGGCCATGGCTGCCCGGAAAGAAAGCAGGCAGTTAGCTGGGGAGCGGCTCGGGGTTCGCCTGCAGGCGTGTGTGCATAAATACTTGGCATCCTTTTGGCTAGCCACCTGGATTGTGCCTCAGCATGTGTTTTTTTGTTTTCTTTTTGGTTTGTTTGAGACACAACTTCACTCTATAGCTCAGGCTAGCCAAGAACTGTGAGCCCAATCTTCCTGCTTCAGTGTTGGGATTACAGAGTGAGCCAATACGCCCCATTTGATGTCCTCTTTGGAAGAAAAGTATGCTTCAAATGTTCAAATGAGGCATGTGGAAAAAACAACAAAATCAGGGACATGATGGGACATGGGAAGGGGACTCTGTGGTAGGAGGAAGGAACGGAATACAAGCAGTTCTCTGACCTCCACAGACCCACACCTCCCTCACAATCACAACAAAAAGCCAGGTGTGGTGGCGCACACCTTCCATCCCAGGCTGGAGAGGAGGCCAGCCTGGTCCACAGAGCGAGTTCCCAGACAACCAGGCGACACAGAGAAACTCTGTCTTGAACAAACAAACAAAAAACCAAAACCAGAACAAAAGAAACAGAGGGGATGGGGAGATGGCTCCGTGCTTAAAAGGTCTTGCTGCACTTGCAGAGGAGCGGAGTTCGGTCTCCATCACCTGTATTAGGGAGCTCACAGCAGAGGAGTGGAGTTCAGTCTCCATCACCCGTGTTAGGGAGCTCACAGCAGAGGACTGGAGTTCAGTCTCCATCACCCGTGTTAGGGAGCTCACAGGAGAGGAGCGGAGTTCAGTCTCCAGCACCCGTGTTAGGGAGCTCACAGCAGAGGAGCGGAGTTCCGTCTCCATCACCTGTATTAGGGAGCTCACAGCAGAGGACCGGAGTTCAGTCTCCAGCACCTGTGTTAGGGAGCTCACAGCAGAGGAGTGGAGTTCAGTCTCCATCACCTGTATTAGGGAGCTCACAGGAGAGGAGCGGAGTTCAGTCTCCAGCACCTGTATTAGGGAGCTCACAGCAGAGGACTGGAGTTCGGTCTCCAGCACCCGTGTTAGGGAGCTCACAGCACTCGGTAACTCCACCTTGAGGACAAACATGGTGTACACACACACACACACACACACACACACACACACACACACACAC